TGACTTTCACTGTGCATAGACCAGTCTTAACTTGCATTGTAGTCGCAAAGTATTCTTGAGCCCATATGATAGTATCAATCACAGAAGCATGCCAGCTTTAATGCAATGCTGTCTCAGGAATCGAACGTCATGTGCATGTGGTTGTGATTTGACCTTTTCCTTTACACAAAAATATTTAGCTAGATTCACTGAGTTTTTTGTATGATGATGTGCACTGTAGGGGTTGAAATACCAAAAATCCCTGTAATCCCTGGCTGTGATACAGTTGGACTACATGCTGATGCATTTTGGGCAAAGTGGCGCTGTCGCCTCACAGCAAGAAGGGCCTGGGTTTGATTCCCGGCCGGGCAACCAGGGTCTCTTCTGTGTGGAGTTTGCATGTTCTCCTCTCCCCCTCGGTGTGAATGTGCAAGAACATTTCTTCTCACAGTCCAGACATGCGGTCAGGCCAATTGGACATGCTGTATTCAAAACTATAGCTTTTCCTCAAATTTAAAGAATAATAAATTATCTCTTCTTCTACTTATAAAGTTTTAAATCTGCACTTTCAGTAGAATTTCTCTGCCTGTTTCAACCCTTTTATATCACAGTTGAAATCTGTGACTTCTAAGGGTTAAACCAAAGACACATAGCCCTGCAGAATAATCTCGTTAGCAAAACATAATTAGAGAATTAGAGATACAAGACACGCTTTTAAAACCGGGTACAGCTGAGTCAAGTGGGAGTTAAGAGCTCCGTCTCAGACGTTCTTTCAATACGGCACTGTTCTCTAATTAAGAAGTGCTTCTGTTTACTCAGCGATTGGAGGAAAAGTTAATTAAGGCACAAGACTGTGTCTCTAAAAGTTTTTTGATTGCTTTGTAACGACAGTCTGGAGAAAATATCTGGAGCGGCACAATAAACACCCGAAACACACTATCCTTTTAAAACCAGTGGAACATGGAGTTCAGCACAGACCCAGACAGCATGCAGATGTGAGCTTCTGGCAAAGATGTGGCACTGACGGCCCACTGTCAGCACTGGCAAACTGCACGTGAGCCAAAAGTGGCCCACATTAAAAATGCTTATTTGGCCCACATATCTCAAAACAGATCCAGTACTTCAGTACAAGAAACAGTACTACATGTTCTGGATTAAAGTGAACTGAGGTTAACAGAACAATAAAGCTTATTATATAATGTTTCATTCATTTACATACTCAAACTATATTACTTTAAGTTAAAACTAATTTTATATGCCATATTAAACATTTTTGGACATAAAAACATTACATCCAAAGATAAACAAGTATCTTTCAAATGGTACAAGATTTTATTCCAAGCAATTTTGAAGCATTTCTATTGGTCCTATAAACTGGACCTTGAGAAATGTACTGTAGTTGTTGTTTCTGCACTAATTTGTTAGACAATAAAGAAGAATCCAGCAAAAAATAGCCATGTTATGATGCAAAATTCTAACCAAACAACCATCCAGTCCCCTTAAATTTCTTTTAACTCCTTTAAAGTCTGGCTCTATTGTTCTGTTATTAATCATAAAGAGGAATTGATAAAGCAATAAGCCACAAAAAGCCATGTGTTACAGAGATTTTATGATGGGTAAGGGGTTTATTGCTCCACTATTAGGCACGACTTGATGGTGGACAACACAAAAATCTAATAAAATACACAAGTGTTCAATAAATAATTTCAATTGTTTCTAGGATAAACAATTATTCTGCCAAGAAAATTGTGTAGTCCCTTTGTAGTGTGTTATTACTGCCAGGAAAATGTGGACTGTTGAAGGAGAACAATAACATTCAGTCATCCAGCATTATATATTACAGTCATTTCATCAAATATTTACTTTGTCATATAATAATTAATATATCATAATATAGCACTGTTTAATGCAAAATCTAGTATCTTGCTAACGAAATTATCATCATGATGACAATGCCAATTTCCATTAGCGCCTCTATGTGATTTCCAACATTATTTAGCATCAAGTTAACAGTGCTGTACAGCCCTTTTCCCCACATTGGGGCTGAATCTCAAATGGCTCCCAGTTCCCTACATAGTGCACTACGTAGGAATTTAAATACTGGCTCCTGCACCAAAACAGTGCATAATATATCAGTCAAGCATGTGTGCACAATTCCATACTGGACAAACATTGCACTAGAATTTCATAGAATTTCATCACTTACATTGCGCAATATATATAGGAAGGAGGGAGCTGGTTGAGATTCAGTCTGGATTTAGTGCTACACAAGGCAGATCTAACTAAAAGGCAGACATTTGAAGTGTGGAATGCTTTTTGGATTTGCGGCTTTACAGTGAATTGTACAGTAAGTAGTTTAATTCGAAGACTGTGATATGAATGGAGGAGTTGTTTAGCCTGTTTGCTATCATTTAGCCTGTTAGCATGCTAATCAGCCTGTATCTAGTTAAGACAAGAAGTTTTTATCTCCTCAGTTTGATGGGCCCAGAGTTTTATTACACACTTCTATAACCTAAGAATAGCTCAGCAAGATTACACTGAAGTCCCTATAGTTACTGTATAATAAGCCTTAGTATGTAATAAGACTGGGATTTTAAGGGGTTTCACAGAAACTAGTTCTTACTTCATCACTACACTCGGTGGTCCATGCGAGCATCATCACAGTAAAAAGTGACAGAATTACCGAAATTTACAGAGTCAGAATTGTTCACAGTGGTGGTGATAGGAACCAGAATTCTGAAGAGTTTAATGCCTCTGAATAAAAGCTACATCACAGAAACTAATGAAGAGGTTACAAATATGCTGCCTAATGTCTGAGACATTAACGTATGATAGAAAAGGCTTCAGCCTAAAACTTATTTTTTTAAATCCATTCATGGCAGAGATGTATATGCGGAGTGTTATAATGCAAATTAGTACTCAAAGAAAATGTATTACCCACTATTTTACAGTCATCAACAGTACATATTATCACTGTCCAAAGAAAAACAAGAAGTATCTCCAAAAATAGTAACACGAGATGGGAAAAATGTTCTTTACTTTTAATGAAAGTCAATGTGAAGATATTTTATTCCAAGTAATTTTAGAGCATTTCTATTGGTTCATTCATCATGAAATTTTCACACAATGTAAAGGACAGGCAACATGTTCAAATGATGCAGAAAACTAAAAATTGACAGAAATGGAGAGACATGTTTTTCTTTAGACAGCGACAATATGCACGTTTCTCTACAATAAACTTTTTCCACATCAGACCACTCTGAATGACTGTTCACCTCTAAACTATTTAATTACGCAGCAATTTTGATCCATTCCCTTTTAAGAGAGAAGAGCTGAAGAGACTATATTAAAAAGGGTGAGTGCTTAAAACAGACTTAAATTCAACTCACATTAAATCCCTCCTGAACACAGATCCCCTGCCTTCAGAAACATGATTGAACTCCTAAAATATTCTGCAAAGCTTTTTAATACTGAGTGCTCCTGACCTGAATTAATGAAAACAGAACATTTTTTCACGGTCAAATATGCAAAGGCAAAATCTCATAAGCATGAACGCCTTCCAGCGACTACTGTAAGTTATTTAGTAATCACTATGGAAGTACTCTGCAAGTTATGTAATTGTCAGAGGGAAGAATGGAAATCTGGACCCACTGACACCAACTTTAAATTTCTGAGTTTAAAGTTTATAAGATAATTTTTTCTGTTTACTGGAAACTTTATAACATTTTACTGGATGCTCAATTAAAGCTGCACCATGTAAGATTTTCTTTGTTAAAACCAAAAAAAGCATAACTGAGTAAGGAGAGGCTAAAATATGGTATGCATGCACTGCTGCGATTTGCCTTTTTAAAACCAGCAAACAATCATTTAAAAGTCAGAGGCGTCGGGTCGAGTTTTTTGGTCCATGTCATATGTCTTTATTTATTAATGTCACACGAATAGGCTCAAAAAGAAGGACCGGCGCAATGTTTAGGTCTCAAATGCAAACTCAACATTATACCGATAAAGATATAATGACAATAACTGTACTTTTTTACTTATAACCGTACTTTTTTACTTTTTTTTGTTTTTAGTGTATTTATACTTATTTAATGTATTAAATATGTTCTTATACTTTGTATAATTTTTTTCCAAGACTATATTAGTGAATGGAGGAACAGCAAAGTAAGAATTTCATTGTACGGTGTAACTGCCTGTTTCTGCTGTGCATATGACAATAAAACTCTTGAATCTTGAATCTTGAATCAATAGTAGATAATTCACCCTCAGAAGACACGCCCTTCACCAAGTTTTGACTGAGTTCTCTTTGAATTCTCTTTAAATCATCAGATTCATCCCCTTGGGGAAGTGGTCTGAAGCTCAACCCATGTTACACAATGTTCTATTGCATGTTGCGTGCAATTACATATTTCCACCAGAGAGGTCTCCAAATCCCCAAAACTTGCACAGTGTATCTTTAAAGCAGTTATGATTTAGCTTATCAAGTAATTAGGAAAGCCTTCATGAACTGAATTCAGAGCGTTAGATGAGGGTAAACGCTAATCTCCGCAGCACTTTGACCCGGAAGGTCCCCAGTTTGACACGCCTGAGAGTGCTAAGAGTGCAGAACATTGTGAATATGGAACACCATCCTAGAACATTGTGAATGGACTAAGAACTGTCCAGATGAGTGTGAATGGGCAGAACATTGTAAAGCAGTGTGAATATGGAAGAACATTCTTGAACACTGTGAATGGGAAGAACACTAGAACACTGTGACTGGGAAGAAAACTTTCTAGAACAGTATGGATGAGGAAGGACGTTCTAGAACCATGTGAATGAGGAACAGATTTACATCTGATTTAGCTTATCAGCTAATTAACAAGGCATTCGTGAACTGAATCCAGAGCGTTAGATGAGGGTAAACGCTAATCTCTTTAGCACTTTGGCCTGGAAGGTCCCCAGTTTGACATGCCTGATCTAAAGCATGAGTGAATCAGCCCTACACTCCTCTGAGCTGAAAGAAGAGAGAATTTACTCACAGCGACGTAAAGGGCAGCGTAGACACTGAGGGCGGCTTCTTTGGAAGGGAAGGATTTGCGGGCGCGCAGGATGTCGTCACCGTTCCCTGTGCATGCTTCCTGCTGGCTGATGAAGCGAACCCCGTGCTGGCATCCCAGAGCCGTGTAGTTGGGCTTACAGACGGTCAGGAAGTAAGGCGACAGATTCCCCGTCACCACCTGACCCGCATTCACAAAGATGTCAGTGGCAAAGAGGCCAAACGCATACACACCTGCCAACACAGAGAGAAGAAGAGATTAGTGAGGAGTCACAGCTAATTTAAATATAATAACAAACTATGCTATGAATAGTTATGTACTGTAAAAAATCATCTATCTATCCATCTGTCTAATCATCTACTGTGAAAAGAGGAGAACTTTCTAGAACAGTATAAATGGGGAGAACATTCTAGATTAATGTGAACATGGAAGAACATGAAAGAACATTCTACACTCTTAAAGATGGTTCTCCAAGGGTTCTTTAGTAAAGAAATAGTTCTATATAGAACCATGAACACTCATATAATCCTTTACATGATTTAAGGGTTTTTTTGCATCATGAAAGCATTCTTCAGATTGACAGAGAATGTCCTGTGGATGGTTCTATATAGAACCTTTTTGAAAAGGGTTCTATATAGCACCAAAAAAGGTTACACTATTGTTAGAAGCCAAACATTGTGAATACGGAACAACTTTCTTGTAAGGGTCCAGCCTGCGCCGCCGGCTGCCAGCAGAGGGCGACGGCGGCAAGGTGCCATAACTTCCGGGAACTCCAATTCCCAGAAGCCCTCGGGCTGATTAAGCCCAACCCGGCACACCTGCGGACTCCTCTATTTAAGGCTGTGGCAAACAGCAGCCCTTTGTCACACCTTTGTATAGGGGTGACCGGTACGGTACTTAGCCCAGGTGGGTATTTAAACAAAAAGAAAAGGAAAGGAAAAAGAGAAGAAAAGAGGGCTGGAAGAAACAAAGAGACTAATTGCCCCCAAATTATTTAAAAGCCCAAAAAAGGCTTGAGCTACAAACGGCTCCAAGCAATAGAAAAGGTGTTTGCTCCACCATGAGCTAATAAGTGAGACATAAAGTCTACCTTCCCTTCATTCTTACGCTGGAAGTGTATTTTGTTTTCTCATTATCTTTTATTTCACGTTTCTAGTTCAGCCTTTGTTTGAGTTGCTTTCAGTGTTTCTTTTGTTTGCCGTTTTCCCGTCTTTTCATTTCCCCTTCCTTGAGGTGTTTTACCCGTTGTCACCTGTGCTTCCCAGCGGCACAGCGGTAACTCCACGGACCACCAGTCAGTACACTGGCGATTCGAGCCTGGCTCTGGGTCACCGCAACGTGCCAAACACGCACTCCATTGTCCCAATAAAGTTATTTAACACTCTTTCTCACTGGTTTTCATTTCTGCCCTTGGGTCCGCCTCCTCGCCCTCCCGTAACATTTCTAGAACACTTTGAAGAGACTGAGAACTTTCTAGAAAAAAAAATGTGAATATCTGGTTGCCAGGTTGAGGTCAATGAACAAACGAGTACAAGACGAACATTAAACAAACATTAAACTTGCTGTAAGTTGATCGGCTAATGTTTGTTTGCAATGTTTCCATTGTTTATGAATTACAAACCAATTCGTGAACTTTCTTATAACTTTGTCAGTATTAGTTAGATGCGTGGCTGACTGTGTAGCTAAGCCTGCTATCCCAAAAACAAAAGCTCACTTCTCCACATGGACTGCAGAATATGAATGCATCCTTACTGGTAGCTATGATAAATTAGTTAAGATTAGCTAAACTTAGCTGAAGCTCAGTGCTTACCTGTCTAGGAGAAAATGAGCAAACTCAACATCCATCCTCTGGACTCTAAGCGCCCCCATCTTCCCCATCTTATTTACTCATGTGTTACTATGTCTCTGGTAATGGAGCTTTTTAGAAGAATGCTGAGGCTTTTTAGGTCGGGATCCAGTTTGTTTGCCTTCTTCCACGGCTGCAGTGCGCTCTGTTTGCCTGCCAATTTGTTTCATATCTGGCAAACCAGGGTGTCAAAATGGTACTGGGAAATGGGCAGTGGGCAGGATCACAGGCCAAAACACAAACAGACTTACTGCTTAGGAACAGAAATTTTAAAGGAGAACATAATGGCTGTAGCACTGTTGTTGAAGCAGCCAGTATTTCAACCTAGCATGTTTCTTTCATCTCTAAAGACATATCATGGTCATTTTATGATTTAGTGCAGTAAATACATTAAATATGTACCTTTTAAACTTATAGGTTAATTTAGATCGTGTCACTAGTGAGCTTAACTGTTTCACAGCAGCCATAAAATACAATTTCTGCCTGATTTGGAGGCCCCTCCCAATTTTTGTCTTTAACAACTTGAAACATATTTTGTATGATTTACAAAACTGGAAACGAACTAGATTTTCATCTTCATAGGTGAGCAAGCAAGTCAACATTTATAAAAGTGTTTTTATTATTTTTCAATTCTCTTTGCTGCTGTGCCAGCTGTACACTGTCCTTTAAAATGAAGAAAGCTGCAGTTGCCCATTTTGTGGAGTGGTGCAGAATGAGTGTTAACTAATTATTAAGAAATATCAGGGGTCTGCAAAAAGAGGCAAGAGCACATCACTGTATTACAGTGAATGTGTTTGTGTAACAGTCGTGCACTGGGTACCAAAAATTGAGGCAATTAAACAAAAATGTCAAAAAATCAATGTCATTTTACTCACCACTCACTGCTTTGAACATAATATACTATGTAAGTGCGTACGGCACTGTACTGAACCACAACTGTATTTAAAATAACCTGGTATTAAAGGGGAATGCCATCAATTTTCCATCATTTAATGGTTTAGATGTAAACAAAATCATTCAATGTGGTTTGGTGTGAAATACGCCTTTCTTGAGAAACTTAGAATCAAAATTGTTCTCCATTGTAGTGCTAGGAACCAGACGTCGTTATGTCTACGCTACAAATACCACCATTTTATCTGCCATCCAAAACGTCCAGTGAACTGTGTCTTAAGTTTTTATATGTCACGCTGATAATGGTAAAATACTGATCAATTCAAAAAAATACGTTTTCTTTGGGCACTATTTTTTCCTTACAATGCCCTGCATGTACCCCTCCACCCTGAACGCGTTTTGGAGAAGGGTCCGACTGCAGAGCCACAGATTTACACACCCGCAATTTCACTCCAGCAGAAACTGGACATACATTAGTCGTCATTAGCCACCGTACGCATATCACTGTTAGCCGTTAGCTTACAGACTATCTAAGTTGGCCACGCAGTAAAATAACTATCCGCCTCGCTATCCTACCTCTTAAACTGGCAAGTGGAGTAGCAAGTAGTTTGTTGTTGACCCCAGCGGTCTTCATTCGCCCTGGGTTGTTCTGCGTCGGCGCCGGTGGGTCTTCTTCAAACCACTGCAACTCATTTGTGTGCTCTGGTTCAAACTGATATGGATCTACATTGTTTTGGAAACAGACCTCTTCAAAGTCCTCTGCATTCTCTGCCATCTTGTAGGTAAGAAAATAAACTGTAAACAAAAGCTGCTGCTGGCCTTAGCTGTGTTGAACGGCTGTAGCTACAGGCTAGTAACAACAAAAGCATGTTAGCTCACGCGCATTGATCTCAGTTGAGGATGTGGTTTTGAGAGGGAACACAGAATTAATCCTGGAGTAATAGTTTATACTAAAAATACATTTTAGGCCAAAACTCTAATAAAACTATCATAAAACAGGTATCAAGCAATGCATTCATAACTATTTTGTGTAATAACTTAATAGGATGTAGCTTTTAGAGCCATTAAACATGTCGGACGTCTGGTTCCTAGTACTACAATGGTGAACAGTTCTGACTCTAAATTTATCTAGAAGGGCGCATTTCACACCGAATCACTCAATGATTTTGTTCATCTCATCTAAACTATTGAATAATTAGTGGAGTGGAGTTCCCCTTTAAGAACATCTACTGGGCTTCAATTTAAGGCCTAAGCAAGTTCCTTTTTAAGTTCTGTAGTTAAATGTTTTCCTGCTATTATGTTTTATTTATTAGCCTTTTTGGCTTTTAGTAAAAGACCTTGAGTTTTTGTTTGATGCAGGAAATCCTCAGTTGGGAACAGCCCATTCTAATTTACCTAACTCTGTATATTTAACTCAACAGGACAGGTTTTTTATTCTATGCCTGTGAGCATTCTGAGCTGAACACAAAGAGAAGAAGTGCTAAAAAATGAAAACAAAATTCTCCAGGCTCCCAGCTACATCGTCTCTCAAACATCATAAAATCCCACACCTTGCAATGCGCTTCTGTTCAGACGAGGCCGCAGTACATCATCTCTCAGTATTGCAGTGTGAACTGTGGGGCTTTGCAATAAGACTGCAATGCCAGGGTAAGAGTGTTAGGCTTTGTCGCAATGGATCTCTGTGTTCTCTGAGCTTGGGTGTAGGGTTCAGTGGAGCATTAGACTAGATTAGACTGAGCATTACCAGGAGACAGTACTAACATTGCTCTCCTGCCTCCTCTAATGTTTATACATTCATTCTGCTCTGAAGGAGTCCATTTTTAGCCAGGAATGTAATGTGGTGTAACACAGAACCTCTGAAATGTTCCCCGCAGCGAAAAGCCAGCCACTAACACACACTATCATCTTTAAAACCACAACCAAAAATGCAATTTGTCACAAAACAGACAGAGATAATAAGATCAGAATAAGCAGCAGAATAACCAGGATCTCACTGTGTAGTCTTTTCCGCAGGGTGATCATTCTGACATGATTTGTAAATGCCTTAATAATTCTTGCCACTGAGTATAATTAACAGAAGAATGTTTTCCAAAAGCGTTGGCCTCCGAATGGAATCGCAGGAGCTTTTCATGCTTGAGACCCCCCGCGGCAACTGAGCGTCGTACCCCATGTCTTATTATCCTCCGCTTCACTGTGCGCAGAAGCAGAAGGAAATAATAAATAAATAACTAAGAAGACGGCCTCATGACACACGCTTAAGGGCCTTCGACCTCCCTCGGATGAGGACTGGCATGTTGAGTTTGCCTGAGAGTGGAGTTCAATGTGAAGAAAGGCTCTCTTTCCTTTACTGATGGAATTCTTGCCAGTAATATGTCCATCATGATAGAGAGTGAGTGTTAGAGCTTTAACTGGGTCTGGAATTGTGGTCCTGATTTTTGGTTACAAAACTATATATAAACTCAACTTCAGCCCAATAAAATTAAGTGGAAACCTGCCTGTGGCCTAAGAAAGTTCTGTCTGGACCAACTGTAACCTAATAAAATTCTGCCTGAACGCAGTAAGCTATAATAATTCTGTCTGAAACGACTGCAGCCCGACAAAATTCTGTCTGAACCGACTGCAGCCCGACAAAATTCTGTCTGAACCGACTGTAGCCCGACAAAATTCTGTCTGATACGACTGTAGCCCGACAAAATTCTGTCTGAAACGACTGTAGCCCGACAAAGTTCTGTCTGAAACGACTGTAGCCCGACAAAATTCTGTCTGAACCGACTGTAGCCTGACAAAATTCTGTCTGAACCCGACTGCAGCCCGACAATATTCTGTCTGAACTCAACAGTAGCTGACAATATTCTGTCTGAACCTGACCATAGGCCGAATTTTGCCTGAAACCAACTGTGGCCTGACAAAAAAAAATGTCTGGACCCATCCATGACCCAACAACAATGTTAAATTCTGTCCAGACTGCAAACAGACAATATTCTGTCTGAACTTGACTGTAACCAAACACAGTTCTGACTGAACCTGACTGTAGGCCGAATTTTGTCTGAACCCGACTGTAGCCTGAGAAATTTCTGTCTTATCCAGACTATCAACAAAATTCTCTCTGAACCTGACTGTCGCTGACAAAAATCTGTGTGAACCGACTGTATATTTTACAATATTTTGTCTGAACCCGACTCTAACCCAACAAAAATGTGTAAATTCTGCCCAGACTGCAAAAAACCTGTGCATTGACTGTAGCCTGATCAAATTTTGTATGAACCGACTGCGGTCTGACAAAATTCTGCCTGAACCCGACTGTAGCCTGACAACCTGACTGTAACCTGATAACTTTTTGTCTGAATCTGATTGAAGCCAACAAAATTCTGCTTGAACTTGACTGTAGCTCAAAAAACATTGTCTGAATCTGCCTGTAACCTGACAAAATTATTTTTAAATTCTGCCCCAACTGCAAACTGACAAAACTGTGTCTAAACTCAACTGTAGTTGGAACTCAAACTTCACCAATTTTAGTCTGAATAAAATGCCACATTTCTAATGGTACTGCCAGGTACATCCACCATCAGACCACTGATAAACAAAATAAAAGAATTAATCACTGGCCATGCAAAATTTAATTTAATTAATTTTTTAACATCTGTATCCCAAATGCTTTAATTAAAAAATAAAATAAAAATTACATCATGCATTGTTTTCATGCTGGCTTCATGGACCTCAGTGGATCTCACTCCCAATAACATGATAGATAAAGTAGGGAGGAAAAACTATAGCAGGGTTAAAATCTGTAAAAGGTAGCAGACCATGAGAAACCTGAAAATGTGACCTGAAAACCTGAAAAAAAAACAACCCAGGACATATTTGGGAAATTTCCCCGGACCCCCAAAAAACCCAAAATGAATATTTGGGTCCCTTCAGGTTTCACGCTGTAATTGGTTTGTATGCATGTGTGTGTGTGTGTGGAGACGTACCAAGGAAGCGAAAGGTCCTCCGCACCAGAGGGTTAAGGTAACAGCAGTCTCCCATCACTATGATCTTCTCTCTGTTATCCAGATCCTCCGAGATGTACTGCAGCAGGAACAGCACTGACTCTGTGGCTGTAATCTACAGGCAGAAAGAGCAAAAGAGGAAAACTTCAGCCTCTGATAACACTGTCCAAACATCTCTAGACCCGTCATGACCACTCCAGTCAAAACCGATAAAAAAACAAATAAAATACAACTTCTTGATAAATCTGTAATCATTAGTCGGCAAATTTCTTTTATAGTAAGAGAGTCTGATAGACACACATACACTGCAAAAAATGACATCTTAGTGAGTATAAACATCTTAAATGTTGTCAGTATATCTACTATTTCTCATTATGAGACTGTCATAAGAATTCTAAACTTTTTTTTAAGCAGTTTTTCTTATGAAAGTGTCATTTCATTTGCAGATCATGGTACTTGTTTTAAACATACATATACATACATCATCTAAACCGCTTATCCTTCTGGGTCGCGGTGGGGTGCTGGAGCCTATCCCAGCTGTCATTGGGGGTAAGGCAGGATACACCCTGAACAGGTCGCCAGTCCATCGCAGGGCAGGCAGACAGACATATACATTCACACCTAGGGGCAATTCAGCATGTCCAATCAGCCTGACTGCACGCTTTTGGACTGTGGGAGGAAACCGGAGTACCCGGAGGAAACCCACACAGACACGGGGAGAACATGCAAACTCCACACAGAAACGACCCTGGTCACCCAGCTGGGAATCAAACCCAGGCCATTCTTGCTGTGAGGCGACAGCACTACCCACTGCGCCACCGTGCCGCCCCTTGTTTTAAACATTATTTCTTGAAATTATTTTCATTATTTCTCAAAACAAGTAAACTAATCTGCCAGTGGAAATGTACAAAAACAGGTGGAATAATCTTGGAAATGTACAGAAACAGGTAGAATAATCTTATTCTTACAACAGTCTAACAATGAGAAATATTGGATTTATTGCCTACTATAAGATGTCACTTGTTAAGATATTATTTTTTGCAGTGTATTTTTTTGGCCTTTCAAAAAAAGTGATTATTCAATTAATTGTAAAAATAATCAGCAGATTATATAATCAACAATGGCAGCCCTGTGCAGGTTATGCTAGTTCTTTCTCTCTCTTTCGACCCCTTTGTACCTATTCCTACTTCTGTATGAAAGAAAATGAGAACATTTGAAACATTTGCATGTGGAACACTGGCCGAATGGGAGCGAGCTTAAAAAAGGACACAATAGAAATGATTAGGGGTCTGATTTCAAGCAGTCACAGTGCTGAATCCCGTAAGGGGTCTTAGCCTTGCTCTCCTAATTCAGAGTGGCTAACGGGGCTTTGACAGCTTGTGCTGTATAATGAGGCTGGGGCCACTTGTGAGAAGCCATCAATTAGGACCAGGCTTGAAAGGATGGAGTGCTAAGTACCAAGCATTGTATCACAGCCAACTAAACAATGTGTCCCTTATAGGAGTTCCTAAACCCATGAATTCAAGCAATTATCTTGGTCCAAAGTCACTATATAGTATAAATCAAGCACCTGAGTGAATTCTGTTCAAAATAACTAGATTCATTCATTCATACTGGCGAACAGAACAGAGGACGTACTCGTGCTGCGATGGTGTGAAAAAGCCATGTGAGCTCATGCGTTAAATGTAACATCACAATGCACTCCTCACTTCCACGGCTCTGACGCGTCAGCATTCACACCGCCGAGAGGAAAACGCTGCAGACGCTCTCTTTAACCTCACTTTTAGCCAACGTTTTGCAGCAAAACTTTCTGCTCTCAGCTCAGCTGTTAGCTCTTTTGTCTTCCATTTTTAGCCACTTAGGAAATCAGGCTTAAAGCTGCACGTTTGGTACAAAAAAGAGCTACACAAATTTCTCCTTACTTCAAATGTGAATGTTTGCTTCTTTAGTCTGGGACTAGAGCTACAAGACCAATGTAGATGAAAAGAAATTGAAGTTTATACTCCACTAATTAACATCGTGCAGACTGCATGCAAGCAAAAACTTCTTAGATGTAGCCAACAAATCTAATATTTCTCATTATGAGACTGTTATTATAATTAACATAATTTATTGTAAGATTATTCCACCTGTTTCGGTACATTTTTACTTGTTTTAAGTGATTTTATCTAGTGAAAGTGTTTAATTCCATTGGCGGATTAGTTTACTTGTTTTGAGAAATAATGAAGATAATTTTGCTTGTTTTAAGAACTAAAGTTTAAAACAAGTAACAGGATCTGCCAATGAAATAAGACAGTCATAAGATAAAACTGCTTAAAACAAGTAAAAATGTCTAGAAATAAGTTAAATAATCTTGCAATATTCTTATGACAGTCTCATAATGAGGAACAGTAGATATATTGACTAGATTTAAGATGTTTACACTCACTAAGATATCATTTTTTGCAGTATGCAAACCACATGAACTGGTTTTGACAAAACACAGACAAAATTAAGGCTTCACACAGCAAAAAATGAGATTTTAGCGAGTGTAAACATTTTTAATGTAGTCAATATATCTAGTTTCTCATTATGAGACTGCTGTAAGAATATTGTGAGATTATTTAACTTAGTTCTAGAAATATTTACTTGATTTTAAGCAGTTTATCTTATAAAAAATTGCATTGGCAGATCATGTTACTTGTTTTAAGCATTAAATCTTGAAATGAGTACAATTATCTTTATTATTTCTCTAAACAAGTAAACTAATCTGCCAATGGAATAAGACACTTTCACCAGATAAAATCACTTAAAACAAGTAAAAATGTACAGAAACAGGTGGAATAACAGTCTTATAATGAGAAATATTAGATTTATTGACAATATTTAAGATGTTTACACTCGCTAAGATAATTTTTTGCAGTGCAGGATGGCTGCTACTACCATTTTATTTTATTTTTTATTTTTTGCTATTAAAAATATTTTTGTCCAAGTTTATAGACGGCAGTGTGTTAGAGTGTCAGAAACCACATGAGCAAGTCAGTTAGAGATTACTGAACAACCCCACACAGTTTGAGGTGTGTGATGATTTAGGCAGTTTGCAATATATTAATTGATAGAATTAGCTAATTATTAGCTACATTAGCCTAGCAGCCCCAGCAAAATCAAAGAAGCAAATCATGAGCACCAAACGTGACATAGCTGATCAACTATTAGCACAGACCAGCATACATTCCATGTTGGTCTATGCTGGTCTAGCACTGATCAATGCTGGTTCACCTGGTCACGCTTTATAATCACCAGCATATCAGCACCCAAAACACAACATATCACTGTTGTCGCCAGAAAACTTCGTATCTCCATTGTTGACGTTTTTTCAGTTGTTGACATAATTTGAAAATACCTGTTGCCGTTTACTTTGTATGTAAATTTCATGATGATTGGACCAAAAGAAATGACCCAAAATGACTTGGGGGAAAAAGTCTGGTTCCATAGACTCACATTAAAAGTAAAGTATGTTACCATTTTGGAGATACAAGGTTTTGTTCCGACAACAGCGATATGCTGGTTTTGCTGGTGGCCAGCTATGCTGCTCTATGCAGGTTTTTTCTGGGAGAACACAGTGTTTCCCCTACCATAAAACAGTCTGGATTGCCCACTGTGGGTTTTATAGGCCTGTGCCCAGGGGTCTGAGCCACTATGAGAAAATCTACCAGTGGTTCGACTAGTGGTTCTTTACTAGCTGCACAAAAAAAATGAAATAATTTGTCATTATGTTAAGCCTGAACATAATCCTGATGCTCTTCACGTCTTTCCTAAATGCCCACTCCATTTTCTACTTTAATCGCTGCTTAGCATCTGTTCCACCATCCGTCATTACCTCAGGCAAGCTTCCAGTTTGCTTACACAGTAAGCCAGCATTCCTTTGAATGTACTTTGAATTTGAAGCTCCAGATTTTCAAAAGAAGGGGGATCTGTAGAAGCAAGAGGCAGAATAGAGGATGTCTATTTCCAAAGTCAAGTATAAAAATGTCTGTCTGAGTTAAAGTAAAAACTTTCATTACCCTTCTCGGTACTGATCTGCAAAGAGCCATCAGAGGTAAGACATAAATGAAAAGCGCTGTTGTAGTACACTTTGGCTGATACTTCACGGTTTGGGTTTTTAAGTCTTCTGTTTCCTTCCATCTTTGTTATGCATATCTCTGCTACCCAATTTTAATTGACGTCATCTATTTTGGAATAAGAAGAGTGGACGCATACTATGTATTGTGTCTGTAATCGTGCTATTGTTTTGTCCCCATTGGAAAAAACATAAGGACTTATAGCGGTGATGTGGCCAACACCACAGTTAGTATTCTGCCATCGTGGAACTGCTTAGCCCTCCTGCAACCTGCTGTGATATCATACAAAATTTCAATGAGCACCCAAAAAGGTAGGCAGGCAGGAGCCCACCTAACATTTGCACCCAGGGGCTGATAACTTGATCATCCAGGCCTGTTTGCACACATCTAGCATTTCTCAAGCCTTAGTATAATCAAGCACAGATCTCTTTGGGCTTGACAGTCTAAATAGCATTTAGTGTTAAACTATTACTATAAATCATACATTTCCATAGAAATATATACAAATTAATGTCGGTCAAGTATGAACAACCAGTCGAATTCCTCTGATACTGAATGTGTGCTGAACAGCCAATATTGCTGCTGTATCGGCCAACGGGCCTGTCACTACACCCCTGAATCATCATGGTGATCTCCATGGACAATCCACACCACATCCACACCTCAAATAGACTCACTCTGATCTTACTGTAACTTCAATTCAGCAAATCTATTCTTGCACATATAGATTAATATCTTGTACATCTTCTGTCCATATCTTGTATAATCTGGCATATATATTAATATTCTATCTCCTATGTATTCTCTCATTTATGTACCTCAGACTCACTAATTGCATATATGGAAAGGTGTACAACTGTAAATATCATAGCTTTTATTTCATAACATTACTGTACACAAACTGTACACTGGCAGAATTTTTTTTAACAAACTATTTTTTGATTTATAGAATGAGGAGAAATTCTCATTTCCTCTCATTTTCAGTGCATTCCAATTCACGTAAATATGATGCATA